TATGAACTGCTTAGAATCATTAAGTTAGTATTTACTTATGTATCTTATATAAACCTCCATTTCATCATGCTGATGCATCTTGCATATGGTTCGTCCATTAATGGGTAATCATATTAAAAGGTATTGAAGATGGAAAGAAATACATCACTGTTTTCACTTGAAAGCTTGAAATGCCTGGAGCGCTAACGTCACAGAGCTATACTCTTCATGGTATTAGCAGGTTTAAAACGCTGTCTGATTCCACACTCAGCAAGCAGCAGATTTGTGGCACGCACTTTCCTGAGTAAGTGTGCAAACGGCTGGCAATGTACCTTTTAAACGTGGCTGGGTTTGGATTTCATAAATAGCATTTTCAGTAAGATCCTGACATTTGTATATTTTCTCAGTGTTGAAAGGGTTATAATGCCAGGATTATATCAGTGTTGGCTTAGCTTTCTGTAAGAAACCCTTTTGCTTCCTGAAAGAGATCAGTCCCATTCAGCATTGCAGACAGCAGTCAGTTTGTCAGAGGAGGTAGAAAAAAGTTCTTTTGGGAATACGATATCACTAAGCTTGTCCGATCCTCACGACTTCACAGAGAAGGCATCTACTAAAGCATGTACTAAAAGCAGAAAGAAGAATAATGGTAAACCAAATTACTGAAAATGGCAAAGAGCTATTGCTAAAGGGTAAGTACTTAATGTTGATATTAATACCTACAAAGGATTATAGTGTTCTGAAACTATCGGTGTATCTTAACTGAAGAATAAAATCATTGTGCTTTCTGAAACACAGGATTATTAAATTGCTAAATCCTTCGAGTTGCGTAGTATCAGTCAACTTGATTGGTAAAGCTGTTCTCTAATCTAGTTCTGCAAAGTACAGTAGAAGTTTGATAGTAACTTCACACGTGTTCATCTAGGGATAAATCAAAGATCTGTGCTTAATTGTACACTTAATTCTGTACCCTGGTGCAGTCTAACTGTTGCATAGGTTGTTGTCTGGGAAAGCTTTGGCCGTTTCTTTCATGCAGAACACAAATGCAGTCTTTAGAACTCTGAACTGTTTCAGAGGAACTAATATATCAACAATGCAGCTTTTTAATTCACTTTTTGGTAAAACTGTGCTTTGTGTCACTTTTGTAGACGCCAAAGCTGTTGCTGATTATAAATACATACATGGTATCTGCAGTGTTGCAGTGTAATGTGTAATCAGTTTTAAGAAGCACACCTTTACTTGTTGGGTAAAATTCAGTAAACTCAAAACTTTAATGACAGTGTCAATTTAATAGTGAAGTAAATAATGTTATGTATGTCTTAAAATGGTGAATGAACACGTTATATTCTTAAAATACCCATGAATGGCAATAGTTTGGCCTTAAGCTGCAGATTCTGATGGAAGCATGTGTCTGGGTCTGGTACGTGAGAGTTCAGTGTCATCAGTGTAACTGATAGTTTGAGCCTGTGTTTAAAGTACAGAGGATCTCTTTGCTGCCTAAAAGCTATCCAGGTAAAGATCTGTCCTTTCATTCTGCTATTCTTTCCTCTCATACAGCCTTATTGTTGCATGGGTTGTTATCTAGTGCAACTTTGGCCTTTATTTTCATAAAATACTGGGTCAGCCTGGAATTTACAGCTCATTCTTTCTGCCATCTTCAGTGAAAAAGACCTGGTAGCCCAAGGTCTTAAGTAAACTGGCATTAACAGATGTCAGTTAGCTATTTCATTACCAATGCCTAGTTTGTAGTGTGAATGAGTTTTACGCAGCTAGATGCAATGCCATTTATTTCCCGTTTCTTCTCTTTCTGATGTAAATATAATGCTCCTAATTAAAAAAAACCACCTAAAACACACCCCTCCCCAACCCCAAAAACTTAGTAAAGTTTTCAAAATATTTTGAGAAGTGTTTTTTCTGAGATTGGAATGTCACTATCAATCTTTTGCTACTGCAAAATAACAAAATTCTCGTTTTCAGTTTTGAAAAACCTGAAAGTTAAATCTTAAATAATGACTTCCTGTTTTTGCATGAAAAAAGTGCTTTGGATAATATCAACTACTTTGTAGCTAAAGTGAAAATAAGTACTCCCCATGATCAGATTTGTGATGTCAACTGCCTGTTCTGCTGCTGTAAATGAGTTTGTAGTCAGAATTTTAATTTTAGAAATGCTTCATGTTTCTGGCTAGCTGTATGTTGTCCATGGAGAAACAAACATTTCTAATAGGCTGTCTTTTTTTAATTATTATTATTTTTAAGTAAGATCTCTACTTTGGACTGTTACTGACGTTGCATTAGGATTTTTGCTAAGCAGTTGAAAGTGAATAATTTAAGAAAAGAAGCAATATCTGTTTATGAAACTTACAGATAATGATCTCTGCAAAAATATAATTGTAAATTGGATAATTTGTATAGTCTCCCAAATGAACCAAGAAAGAGGTTTCATAACAGTTCCGAGAGTGAGAGTTTTGTTTAGCCCAGCCACGTGTGAGGAGCCACATAAATAAAGTATATAAGCAGAATTAGAATGTATTTGAAATCACATGGTCGTCTACATGTTTCTTGGGTTATCTTTCTATGACAGTCTCTTGATATACTTCAACAATACTCTTGAATGCTTTGCTGCTGAAATGTGGAGATGTCTGGGTTCTTGAACTACTAGGAAAGGCCAAGAAACTTGTTTAGGGTTTTCTGTTCTTCAACAGTAGTCAGTTCTGCAAAACTTTACTGCTGGTGGACGATGAGAAGAATGCTATCTGAACATAGCACAGCCTTTTGGAGGGGACCAAGTTTTATCTCACAATACAAGTGCTTGGGAAAGTAGTATCATTGTTAGCATCTGGAAAGTGCTTTCTCAAGAACTGTGTTAAAACAGTTTCTTTTGTAGAAACAAACCAAAACCCCGAAGCGTAACAAAAATGGAAATGGACAGCTTTTTATATTAAAACTTTATCCTTAAGGCTGTGAACAAACGTCTTCAAAAATAATGTGACTAATAAAATTACCTGATTATGCAAGGAAGAAATATTCTCCCTGAAAATAATTTGTTTGCAGCAATCCCATTGTTCCTCTAACACTTTTTTCCCGTAGAATACCTATCTTGGGTGTATTCATTTGCTTCTAGGTCTTCTGAGAAGAGTAAGTGTAGCAAACCTATTTTGGTTTTGTGTCAAAAAATCAAACTGAATTCTGGCGTAATTACCAGTTGTGTAGAAATTTGCAGATTATCTTGACACATGAAAATCTGGAAAAGCATAAATAAATTGGAACTAACTTGCTTTCCAAGGTGGGGTAAATTTTTGCATACCTTAAACCATCTATAAATTAGGTTTTTACTTAAGTTAGGTTCTCTTTAGAGGTAATTTGCAGCATGCCAAGATGCATGTACAGGAGAGGCACTCCAGGGATCAGCTGGTTGAGCCATCCCTTTCTGACTAAAAAGCGAGCCTACATAATTAGTTGAATATAACTGCCTGCTGTTTAGATAGCTGAAATTAGGTTAAAGGAAGCCGACACCAACTGCTTGGGTATCAACTCTAATGTCTAATCTTAGATTCCAGTGTTATTTGTAGATGGAATATTAAAAATACGAATGATTTATTTTTTTAATTAAAAAAAGCCTAAGATTAAATAATGTTCTCTGTGCATGAAAATGTCTCAGTTTGTGTCCCTAGCTATCACAGGCTTTGTGGCCAGTGATGTTTGTAAAATAGCGTCTGAATGACAGAAAAAAGTGGTATTAGCTGCTATACAGTCTATTTCGTTACAATTTTTTTTTTTGCTGTAGTGTACACAAAGGAGTCTGTACATGCATAGTACAATTACAAGTGAGATACTAGCTCTTATGCTGCTCCAGAAATTAAATTGCATTGAGGGGAGGAGTGTTGGGCTGTCCTTTGAGATGGTTTTCTAGTAAATATCTGCTGTTTGTCAGTTATAGAGAGGTAAATACACCAACAGGTTTCTTTCTTTGTCAAGCCTAGCATTTCAGTTCTAACTCTGATTTGTACTCTGATTCACGCTAAAATTCTCTGAAGAAATTTAGCCCCTCAGTTAAGATTTAGCTCTTGATATTTCAGGCAGGGCGGATTATGGCAACTCTGCATGCCATCATCACAGGTCGTAGCTGTATCAGGAGCTTTGTCCAGCTTGCCTGCCTAGCAAAGCATGTCTGAGAGTGTGTGCGTTCCTCTTGAGCTACTATGAGCATGGTGTGTGTGCCTCTACCAACTTGCATTTAATTAGCTCAGATGTATGCCTGTAAAAGCAAAGTGGCTTAAGTTTGTTATCAAAGTTCAGCCCTCTTGGGAATCTTTTTTTTTTTTAATGTTTTAAGCCTTACTGCAGTTTAATTAGTATTAGCATACTATATTTTTCACTTCTTCTGTTATCTGTGCTGGCTAGACTAAAGCTAGTCAGACTATGTCCATCTGTGCCTTCAGCATGCCTTAACTTGTCAGGTAGATAGAGCCTCCGTAAGAACTGGGTGAGTGTCTCCGAGTTAGTCATGTCTAAATGGAAAGATCTGAAGTTGTCTTAAGGCATACTAATTTCCACTTATTTAACTGAACATGATGAAGTAGGGGAGTGGTGGTTTTCTGTAAGGGAGTTCAGAAACTGACAATAGAGGAGAATAAAACCTCGACAGGTTGAGTCATGCCACTGCTCCTGCCACCTTCTCACAGGGATGATTATTCTTTTAGTAGTCTGGCTGAGTAGACTTTATCACTGTGAAGCTTCCTGGTCTTTCTTTACAATAGTCTCACTGTGCCTAATTGTTCAGCTTTCATTTATCCTCACTAATCTGTCTTTCTTATAGTTACTTTCATATATGTTTTGTTTGTAATTCTCTCTAAATTTTGGTTTTCATTCCTCAGTTACTGAAGAAAACACAATGGCTTGCACAAAAGGCTTGCATTTGGTGTGCTCAAGCAGTGAAAGTGTCTCTCTCTCTGGCCTAATCACCTTCCAGAAGGAAAGCAGTAATGTGAACACTGTCCTTTGAGTTCTTTTTTTTAAAGTAGAGGCAACCTAAACCTTTTGGAGAAGAACAAAATAAAACCAGTCAGTAGAATACCCGCTACAGTTTTGCCACAGTGTTCTTTCTTGGCAATGAGATAAAAGTTAGGCAAAAGATTGGACATCCATTTATTGCTTTTATTCTGTCTCCTGGGCTTGTGTGTTTGCATGTATGGGAGTATGCACACTTAGAATTTTTAGGTTTTGTTCCATGGACCATCTTTGATGTTTTATGGAACTCAGGTGATCCACACGATGATGAACCTTGTTCTACAGACCTGTGTCCGTACCTGAGTAGGGGAGCTCTAAAAAGTTCAGGTAACTATGGTGGAGATGTTTAGATACACTGTATAATTGTAGTGGTGGCTGCAAATAGAATTATTTGGTTTGGAAGAGAACTGGTAGCATTCAGAAATAAAATGCCTTAATTATTGAAAGATAATGAAGACTGAGAAGCAATGAAACAAGTGAAGAGGAAACATTAACCTACTTGGAATATAGCTTGCCTGCCTTAAAAGGCAAATAAATTATTCTCTGTTGCAGACTATATAGCTCCCTCTTTAAGAAATGTTCCTTGCAAAACAATCTTGCATGATGAAAACTAACACCACATAACTACTGTCCAAGACCAAAGACTTGATAACTAAGAATGTGGAAAACTGTACGCGTGTCACAAGATGGTGCTTGCCCAGGAGACTCCATGCTTCAGAATGTAAACTGCCCTCATGTGAAGCTGGGGCGAGAATTCCCCGGAGTAGCTTTCCGAGGTCACCTCTGCTCTCTTCCAAAACTGATGGAGATAACAAACTCTTCCCATGCAAGTAAGTCTCTTTGAAGCTGCTGGTGTTGCTCATTGGTAGATGGAATATACTAGACAAATTTTTTATTGCAGTACGTTTTATATACTGTGCTGCAGTCTGTTCTGTTTTGTCAAAGTACATTTGTGATTCTTGTTGAGGAAATGGTCATCTGCCACAGGTTTTACTCATGAAATTGGAAACAATATGGAAAAAGAGAACATTAGATGAACACTTTTTGCTGTTGTGATTTAGGACATGTCTGAAAACTAGAGATTGCACCGAATGTGCAACTGCGGTGAAGGTGATGTTGGCTATCATTTAATTAGCTGTATTTAACTTAGCAATGTAGTACTCTTCTTGAAATAGCACACGTTTCTGCAGCACCCAGTTCTACATATTGGTAAAGTTAAAACTGGATGTCATTGTAAAGAACTTGAATATAAGCTTAGACTCCTTTGCTTCCTGTTGAAAGTGTACAGTGTTTGAGAGGGGGTTTAATGTGGCACTTCATTGGATCAGTAGAATCATGCAGTTTGAAAGTTCACTTTTATTTTTGCATTGTCTGCAGTAATTCATAATCTATATATACTTTCAGGATAATGGAGCTAGTGCTGTGAATGTGGTAAAAAGCCAGCTGTATTTCTCTATCATCTGAACTTTTCCATCGAGAGAAAAATTGTGCCCTAGCAATTGCAAAAACAATACTCTTATTTCCAATCACTGGTTCTACTGATTTTTCTATTGCAGTTTACTTTGTTTGGGCTTCCTGTGTGCAGGAGGATGTATAAAGCAAGCACACCAAGGAGTCAAATTCAGAGGGAAAGTCTAATGGGAAGGAATTGGGTGATGCTTGAAAATGAAAATGGAGAACGAGAGAGGAGCTGGAAGCTCTTTTTGGGAGAGAGGGAGCTTCTGAAGAGACCAATTGTGAAAAATTTACTGGAGGTAAAATGAAGATGCATCTGAAAATAATGCCAATTAACTTGAAGATTCATCTTAAGTCACTGGTCTTTGTCAGGCTCAGAGAGATGGTATGAAGTAATCTTCCTTAACTAAGGATAGGTTATACCAATGACAGTAATGAGAAGCTTGGCATTGTGAAAGAGCAAAACAATTGTCATCTTATATAAAAATCTGACATTGAATATATGAGTTATCGTGACAACAGTGATTTTTATACATAAAAAGGGTGAGAGCTTCTGTAAGCATTACAAGTAAAGGAATGCCCATTGTACTTTTTTGAGAGAGTGGTAAGCTGCATATGTAAGGTAAGGTTCCTGGTGGAAGAACAGGGAAAACTAAGACAGCAAAGAATTGATTTACAAATCACTCAGTGATTTAAAGAAAAAAAAAAAATCAGTTTGATTTTTCAAACATTCAGTTACCAGAGCTAATATACAGGAAACGAGAAAACAAAACAAAATTACTCATGACCTTGCTGCATTTGGTAAGTGTAATGATGGGAAGATACTTCACAGACCAAAGTCTTAACAGAAATACTGTCTGCTTGATGCTTTGATGTTGTAGTTGTCATTTGTACCTGTGTCCAATTTAATGAGTAAAACCTGTATGGCAGATAACTCAATTTCCTCAGCAAAAATTGCAGATGTACTAACCACAGTAGGATAGAATGGACTGTGGCACAGCTTACAATACATCCCGCAACCAAAATTGATCTTGTATATTCCTTCTGTCAATATAGACATAACAAATACAGCAAGCAAGTAGTTTTTGCAGATTTTAGTAAATATTTACCTTTGCTGAAATTGATAAACATTTTGTTTTGATGCTCTGTTGCTAAGCTTACTGATACTTTTCTAGTCCTGTAAAAAATTCTACAACGTACAGCAATGCGAACATCTTTTACACGTAGGTGGGGTCGGCAAATAAGCTGAGCCTACTTGTGCAAGGCAGCTGCTAATTAACATTTTGGTGTTAGTTGTCAGAGCTGTGAGAAAAGCAATAGGCACGTAAACACAGCAGACTATCTACAGATATTTTTGGTCAGCTGTTTACTTCCTGAAGCTTAAAAAGACCTCTGTTGTTTGTGAATATTGTTTTTCCAACAGTTTTGTTCAAAACACCTGTGAGCAATTTCCAGCAAATTGTGCTGCTTTTCATGCATCCTTTCCCCTCAGTAGGAATAGTACTGAAATTTCTCATAATTTTTTTGTGTATAGCAATTACTTTTGTAACAGTGCAATATATGCTGATCACTCTGTGTAGGGGAAGAGTCTTCTATTTGCCTGTTAGGTTCATTTTGTAAGTTGATTCAGATTTCAAAATGCAGAGACACTTTCACTTCAATTATATTAAAATAATTTAGTATAGCCTTGTTGAATTGATTACCTTAATCATTGAAAATATGCACCAAAAAATCCAGCTGTTTAATCTCTTGCTTTTTATGTATTCAGTGTACAATACTTCTTTAACTTGCAGTATTTTCATTTGAGATAATAAATTTTTTCTTTCATTTTCAATTTCTTTAGTGGTTACTTTTTTGTAAATAGAAAAAAAAAAGTATTCCTTGGATTGATCCTTTCTTAAGGAGATACTCTTGGAAGTCTCTTTAGTTTGTATTGGCTGAAAGAGTAGGGAGTAAAGAGTTATAGGCAAAAGAAAGGAATTTTTGTTTGTCAAGCAGACTGTAATGTGAGCCACAGGTCCGAGAACTTCTGAATACTGGAATCAATTTAATTTTTTTTTCTTTTCCCTCCAGAGCTCATTTTATACTATAGTGCCCTTACAATATTTTTTTTAAGTTACTACTTGTTACAAAAAGCTCTACTGATCTTCCATGTTATCTTTTTTTTTTAATACAGTTCTTTGCATATGTGAATGGTTTTACTGTACCTGATGTTAGATTTTAACTTAAAAACATAAGAGGAGTCTGAAGAATGCACAATCTAAATGTTCAAAATAGAATAAGGGTAAAGGCATCATGAAGTGTGCACATTTGATGTCTAGGATTAGTGGGCATCGTAAAAAAACCAAACAAAAACAAAAAAAGACCAACAACAAAAAAGGGGGGGGGGGCACTTTGGTTGATATTTACCTTTGTTGTAATAACAGAATCTAGTCTTTGAATTGTTCATCTTACTAATTCTACCTAATCTGTTTGGACATACTGCTCAAAAGTTGCTCTTAGCATTAGTAATGATCTGTAAGTGCATGAGAACTGTCCTTTCACTTGTCACCGTTCTATGTAAGAGAGAGTTACAAAAGGGAACATTAGAGAATAAAGGCACAGATAATGTTGTAGCTGTAACCCTACTTGTAAATTTTACTTTGAGGTGACTTTTTATTCTATTTTAATGAAAACGGAGGAGTAGAAATAGAAATAGGGATAACTCTACCTTGAGAGTAACACCTCTGATATTGATAACATTGCATAACTTTAGATACTAAAAAGAAACAGATTCAATTGACTAAACAAGTTTATTCCCTATGGTTTTTGTCAAGGTTACAAAGTCTCTCTTTCTGCTCTTATCAAAACCTGCTTCTTTTTTTCTTTGCAGGTCATGGCAACCATAAAGAAAACAGTCCTTTCCTGAACAGTTCAGAAGCTGGCAAGGGAGGTGATTACTATGACAAAGATCTGGCCTTGTTTGAGGTAATTTCTAACTGTTTTTCATATTCCTAATGTGATTTGTGATCTTCCAAGATGGGAGGGATTGAGCACATCGTATTAAGCGGAAGACAAAGCATTGCAAAGGTTCAGGCAGTGGGTTGGTACCTAACTCTCACTGCATGGCAAATCTAAGAGCCTGGTGTGTTTAGGGGTATGTCTGCAAAGTAGCAAAATATAGTGGTACCAGAGGTGACGTGAATAATTTAAATAGTGACGCTGTGGCACTGTGGGCTGATCAGTGTGGAAAATGAGCATGGGCTGATTTACTGTGTTAAGAAGAACCATGTTACTCTGTAGGAGAGTACCTAAATTCAGGTACTCAGATTAGCCTGGGTATCCTGTATTACAACTGCAGTATATCAGTAATACTGATTTCTTCTCCCACATGCTTTTTTGTGGGTGTATGTCTGTTCTCCGAGGTACCAGTAGGCAGAGATATCCTGTGTGATGAAAAAGCTCAGATATTATGACCACTCGAGGCTGTGAGGCAGAGAGGTAAGGAGGACCAGACTCTCATGCAGGAGGCCAGCTGGAGCCACACCAAGTCCAGCAGAATCCTCCTCCACGTCCTCACCTCACTGGCATTCATTAACTGCAAATATATCATGGTGTGCTGAGACCAAGTTTCTAAAAAATGTTTTCAGAAGCTCAGGTGCTGGGGAGTGGTGCAGAGAGTCTTTGTATGGCTCTGCAGCTGCTTTCCAGTTGGGCTTCTGAGTTACAGCTTCACAGCAATACTGGCAACATGTTCCCAGTGTTTCCCATTCTGGGAACCCGGTGTGAGGCAGCCTGAGCTGGCTCTACACCCCGCTAGGATGGCGCCTGCAGAGTTCAGCTACGTGGCATAGAGCCTGGACAAGTATAACTAACCTGCTGCTAGATAGGAACTCACCATGGAAATGCTACAACCATGTTTGCAGGCAGTGTGCATGAGCTAAAAGACTTTGAAGCATGCTCCCAGCTGTGGTGTCTCCGCCCTCCTAGGCATGGTAAATCTGTGATCAGCATAAACTCAGTTGTGGATCATGAAGAGTTGGCTGCTTGTGGCATGGCTGCTGCTAGTCACATGCCTGCCTTTTTCATAAGCAATAACACAGTACCACACCGGTGCTGCAGGCTCGCTCTGGTACTGAAGAGGAGGAGCAGATAGCATCCCAAAGGCCATGCTGCTCAACTGAACAGGAAGCATGTGTTGCCTCAGCCTCTTTCTGGAAGGAACCATATCAGGTTTTTAAAGATGTGAACTGCAGATGAGATCAGAGGAAGGAATAAGAAAAGGGACATTTGGGGTCAGTTTCTGCCATCAGGTAGAAAGCACATAATGCTGCTGATCCTCCCAGAAACTCTTCGTGATGATGCATGAAGATATGCTAAAACTCCAGACAGTGAAATCTTTCTTAATGGGTTTTTACTTCCTGTGTAGAAAGTTGTTTGTTTTTACCATGCATTACTTACTGTGCAATTAGACATGTAAGACATTTTAATTTCAAAAAGAAAGGGGAAGTGAATGATTTTGTTCTATTTTTTTTTTTCTTTTTTTCCCCTTGAACTTACTTTCAGAAACAGAAGTTGGATGGGATGAATGTAAAGATGTGAGGCCTCCGTACATGTGGCTTTTGGGATTTTTATCTAGATCCGCATAAATTAGATTACATAGTTTGAAAAATCTAATACAATTATCAGAGTGCATGCATGCCTACAATGACCGGAGTTTAATCACTAAATCTCTGATTTATTTGGCAACTTGACCTTTTTAAAAGTATATCTGTTGATGTAAGCTGACATTAGAGATACATGCAAGGTACGCGTCCATTTTCTTACAGTCCCAAGGCTCAGACAACTTCTTTATTGCTGTAATTCATGTTTTTCAGCACCTAAGGAGAAAGGTGCAGACCTGTTGGCATAGCCTTTTCCTGCCAGATTTGCCCTCCTTTCAGAAAATTAAAAACTCTCATCAGTGGTTCAGGCACAATGAAATATTCTGTCATTCCCTGGATGATTTTCCTGTTGTGTTCCCTGGCAGCCTCAGGCATGCCAAGGAAGGTGTGACCCCAGCCGCTCTCCATAAATGCTGTGAATCGCAGAAGTTGACTAGTTGTCTTCTTCCACAGGAAGAACTTGATATACGACCAAAAGTGTCATCTCTGCTTGGCAAGTTGGTCAACTACACAAATCTTACCCAAGGTGTTAAGGAACATGAAGAAGCAGAAAGTACTGATGGCTCGAAGAAGAAAGTGTCAAAAGTAAGTAAAGGTTCTCTCCGTGGCCAGCTGATGAGCGGGATGATTCCCTATGTGATTTTTGGGGAGCTGGACTCCTTTCTGCTTTATCTTAACCTCTGTCAGGAGCCAAGACAGTGTTGCAAAGAAATAACATAGAACTCTGTAGGTAACCAGATATTACCAAAGAATTGGGGCAGATGCAGTGGTCAAGCACAGTGCACTACAGTGCAGTTAGTTACATACACTTGGTATGGATTTAGATAAGGAGAATAGGCTTTTAGTGGTGAATCGAATAAACAACAAAACAAACCCCCCAGCTTTTTCCTAGTGCTGTTTCAGCTGCCCAGCAGTATCTGACACATCTCTATGAGCCTGGTAGGTATGACACAAGACTTGCAGGAGACAACACCCTTCTAGAGTGGTGGGTGGAGGTCAGATTGGACACCCTGGGGCAGGTCAGGTGTCATTCTGGTGCTAGGCGCTTAGGCAACTGAATTCTGCCCCAAAGGATCTGCATTTAGATGGTTAGCCCATTTGGGCTGGCCTTGTAATAACTAGGTAGAAGGTGGGGTTTGATTGTTGGTAGTTAGATTTCTATCGGGAGGGCTATGTTCTAACTGCTCTTCTTAGTGCTCTGGCAGTGTTTCAGTTAGTGCTAAACCCTCAAGTGGTATGGTTGCATTTTATGGCACTTGCAGGCCTGTCAGTTTGCTTGCAAATTTTGTCAAAGGAAAGTTTTCCAAAAAACTAAGATAGCACTTGAATTCTATAGATTTTATAGTACTGCCCTGTCAAAGTTTGAGCCATTTCAGAAAGAGATGGCAGTGGTGATGTTGAAAAACAACGCATTGTTCTCAAGGAGAATGCATGTTACCCCAGGCTGAAAGCTGGATTCCAGCTCCCTTACTCACACTCCAGTTCCTTACTCTGCACGGTTTTGCACTGGGGTTAACAAAGTTGTTTAGTCAACATGAAGCTTAAAATTCAGTTTTATCTGAGACCACATGCACTAAAGTTCTGTAATATTATGTTTAATATGACATCATTACAAGACTGAGTGAAGATCGTCTGGGTGCAGTAACTGTGTTGTGGTACTATAAGCTTATTTTAAAGAAGTAATTTAAACATTTTAACTCTGAATTTCTTTTGTGTGGTACTTGGTCGTATACTAATTGCTGAGTCTGTCCAAAGTTTTTATCTTCACGTTACTAATATGAAATGTCAGCTGCATCTCTGTTTTAGCATGCTTTTGGGTGGGAATAATGTCAGGCATCAGCTGTGAATGTGGTGTTATTGCATAATCTAAAATCATTTTCAGCCTCTTCCTATCAAAAGCAGATTGTATCTTAACAAATTCTATCTTAACAAAGATAGAATGGAGGGGGATACAACAGGTACAGTCCTTACTATTTTGAGAAAGTTCTGATCGCACTTGCTGTTTATTTCCTTATTAATTGCCTGAGCAGAATACCAGGGTAAGATGCAGTCTGATCTAAAAGCTAGTCACTTACTTCCCTTGTTGGAAAAAGAATTGGGAGAATTTGGTGATGGGTCTGTAGTGTAAAGTTGGTTAAAGCAAATGCAGTATAGCTTCATAAGGTAAAAATGGGGCAAATAACAGGAAGCAGAGAAGTTGTTTTAAATTCCTGGTAGAGTAATGTGTAAGGTTTGGTGTTAATATTTCTACATCTAGGTATGATTTATGTAAACACTTGTGTATTTTCAAACTCTTTACTGCCTTAAAAAAGGACTGTTGTCCTTGTTAAAGCTATGCTTGTATGGTAAAACAGTTTGGGCTTAATACCTGGGTTGTCCTGAATTATGCTTTCCCGTGTCCCAAAAATGTGTGTTTGCAGACTTCTCAGATGTTTTTTGTAGAATGGGTTGGATAACCATTCCAAAAGTGACAATATCATCCAGTGTTAATATCTCAGTATTTTCTGTGTAAACACTGCAGTTTCCTTAAGTGAATCTTTGCCTAGCATGTCTGTCTCTGGAATAAATTACATCAGCTGCAATATCATAACTGTAGTTTGAATTTCTTCTCCCTCTCTTGCCATAAGCAATATGAAATTTTAAACATCTTGATGAATATTAACTTGGCCAATAATTATAACCATTAAAAACAGGAAATTCAAAAGCAGTAACTGTACAATGCTATGGATCGAAGGTATCCAGAAACTGTGCAAATGGGATTCTTCTACACATTTGTTTTTAATCATCTTTGAAGTATAAATCAATGCACTGCTGTTACCTTACCCTTCCCATTTGAGCATTAGTACAGAAGCATGAATATCCACCCCAGCACGATAACAGATTCTGTTTTTAAGTGCCAGCGTTGTTAACTGATTCATTGCTGAATGCTGTACTGGGTATGCTCAGCAAATACGTACCCAGCCAGTGTGACAAAAGGTAAGCTGCCTGTCCTGATGTGTCACTGGCTGGAATTGGCAGCTTACAAGAATTGGAGCAAGGAGGGTGAGCAGACTCTAGATCTGGTATTCAAAAATCGAATGAAGAAAGCAGTCGTTTCAGTAAGTGAATATATAATTCTCTATCTGAGCAGGTAAGACAGGTCTCTCAGTGAATACCTTTTTGTGACCTAGCCCACCCCTGCCTGCCAAATCATATCGATTCAAATAAAAAAAACGAAACAAAAAGAAACCACAAAAAACCCAAACCAACAATAAAACACAGACATAAAAAAGAAGAGACAAGGCAGTTGTGTGCACACGAAGGGGCCAAATCTCTGAGGGGCGGTATCGAAAAAAATGAGAGCTTTTTCCAAAGTTTAAGCTTAAAGGACTAGAGAGTGATGTGCTTTAGCTTGTGGAGATCATTGTTGTCAGCACCTGCTTTCTACAGCGACAAGACCAAAAGAGACCTGAATGTTTCCACAGGCTCTGGGAAATACGTTACATGACTATCCCCCTTCTAATCTCTTGGAATTATTGCTGCAGAGTTCGTGGAAGATGCAAATGAAGATCAGGACAATTTCAGTGCAAAACAGCTTAATATAAACATATTACCCTGTTTCAGCATTCCCATTAAATATTTTTGATAGTAGCATTCTGTATTAGGTACACATCAGATAAAATTGACACTACTCCATGTACTAGGGTAGAAATTGGGTTGCTTTTTATCTTTTCCAAATACAGTCTTGTATTAAAGCACTTAATAGGTGCAGTGCTATAAAAATATCCCCCTCTCATGATGGAAAAAATAAGATTAACTATTTCAGTTCATGTATCTTTAATAAGGCAGTTCACTTCTGTGCTGCTGTCTGTCCTCATGCTACAGAGCAACCACAAGAGCTGTCATTACCGATCAATTTCCCTGAGCCCTGCAGCCAAGTGCTTTGATAACCCATCACGCTGGCTCAATGGAAATAGTGTCCTTCGGACTCAGATCAATATTTGTATCAATTAGGTGTCTGCAGCTGATTAGAGTGAAGGAAAACATGATCTGCATCACTGAAATTGAGACTGTTTTTGAGATTTTTCTGTCCTTTCTTGGTTGATCTAAAACAGCGTTCTTCAAAATGTTTTTGTGTTTTATTTCCTTTATGCAGCATGGGGTGTTTAATTTTTTTGATTTGGTAGCTGTTGAGACTGAACATAATACCCTTCTTATTTCAGATTGCATTCTGTTGAGACTTCAGCACTGGTTTAGTATCACTTACTGATTATAAGATGCTATAAAAAAGGGTCAAGTCACTGCAGATCACCGGTGTTAAATATTGCTATGAACAAGCTGGTTCAAGTAGTATTTGTGGATCATTCTTTCATACCAGTATTTTTTATTCCACAGGGTAAGAAAATCCAGAGTAAACCCTTATGCCTGAGGTACACTTAGTAACACCGTGGCTTGGGTTTTGTCTGTGGGCAGACACAGATGCATTTCCTCGGCTGCTCTGCAGTAGTGTCATGACTATACAATTAATGCACAATTTCTCTTCCTCTGTGGCTGAAGTGAGTTTGTAACTTGATATGTATAAGAGGCCACTTAAGAGGGACGGGGGGAAGATGATGAACAGTAGAGCAAAGCTGCAGGGGCCACGTAGGGCAGAAGGTAGGAAAGAGCTGAGCTAAGGTGAATTCTTATGCAAAGGAAGCAGGTATTGGGGGATGTGTAAAGGGCAGGCTGAAAACTCACCTGCTTTGATAGTGCTTGGAAAACTGTCAATATAGAATATATAATAATTGTGCTCCACTTGCTTCTCCTGAGTGGGAGCGATAGGTTAGGCTTCTTTCCTTTTCCCAGATGCCAGTTTTGACAAACTCTTAGAAACTTCTTTACCTCTGAGATACCCACACATCTGATAAATTCACTTGATGCTGGCTGCTGGGTTCAGAGATGATGTGAGGGGGGTGACTGATGGATGAATGGTCAGATAGATGATAAAATTACGTGGAATGTCTCTGTAAGAGAGGCAAAGAGTGCATTAATGTGACAATAGGAAGCCCTTACGCAGGGCAAAATCTGCCCAGTGCCTGGCAACATTATGTAGTCCTTTCTCAGTTAATGTTTATGCAGTTGAAGACACAATGTGAATCAGATGAAGGTGTTTGAATCAAAAGTATCTAAACATCCCCTTCTTGAGGAAACAGGTGCATTATAAAGAATACGCTGAGAAGATCCTCCTCCACTGTAGCAGTGGAACAACTCGTTTAAAAATCCTTACGTTACCCTGATCAGGATACTTATGTATAAGTGTCATATCTGTTAGTCTCAGAAGACAACAATTCTTTTTGTCCTTATACATAATCTTGACAAAGCTGATCAGGTTAGTTCTATAGGATGGTAATCCTTGTACAAATGGCAGGTGACATTTTAGGGATATTTTTGTACTGCGGTACCGGAACAGCTGAGTAATGGTTCTCTGGCCGCATGCTGGTAGATCTCATAGGGTAGGTCTATTGCAAACTGTCAGCACATGGTTCTGTTGCTCACTTTACTTCAGGAGGTTCACCCGAGTTGAAGTGTGTGTGTGGAAGATCTGATTTAGCTTTAGTTACACAAGGAATTCAAAGCTGACTTCAAACAATTTGGTCAGCAATTCCTGGCATTCCTAGCAAAGAACTGTTCAGATCGTGTTCTTAGGCACAGTTTTCTTTCATCTCCGGCAGGGCAGATTCCTAATGCAGATGAGGAAATTTCGAATTGTAACATGTAATTGCAAGTTGAAGCACTAAATTCCTGCGTTGCTTATTTTGACCTGGTGATATTATAATAATTTGATTTTTTTTCTAGGATTTTGCTTTGTGTAATAAAATATACCCTGGTCTTACCTTAAGTAACTGAATTTTTCCATAGTGAAGACAAGGCAAGAACGAAGTTCTTGACAGCCATTTTACTGCTTTAAGAGTAATATGCTTGTCTTAAGTACCGTTGCTTTTGATTCATGGCTAATTTGTCTATAAGGGTGCATGTTACCTATTTATTTTTGCATTTGACTCCACATTGCTATGTGGTGTCAAATTTGAACAAGTGTTGTCACCTCCTTTTAATATCCTTCTCATTTAGATGATTGTTACTGAGTTTTAAATGCTGTCTATCTGTAATATGTTTTAGAATTCAGGTTTATTTATAGAAAGAAGTATGAAAAGGGATGAGCCTTTGAGAAGTTACACTCTCTATTTCCCCCTATGTTTCAGCATTCTGTCTAATTTTAAATGCAAAAGAAAACCTCAGAAAGCAGAAGCAATGAAATGCCTTCGCAGGAAACCACAGAGATTTGGGACTCTGAATTGCTGCTAGTGCCAGGTGTGCCAATGCAGGGAACATTTCTGTGTTCCTTGAAATAAACCCCTTATCAGTGGCATTTTGGTATCATTTTTTTGGGTCTGACTATTCTCTGACAATAACTATTTGGGCAAAAGAGAATTCTAAAAGATACTATGTTGAATGCCAGTCACGTGCAGTTCCTGCGGTCACATAACTAACTTGTATTTTCTCAGTCACTGTCAAAAGTAATCATTAGTTTTACGTGGAATATATAAAATGGAAGAAAATACACTATGCATATCTCCAGATTGCTTCCAAATCTTTTCTAGTTGTAACATCACAAACATAACATTGCAAAAGTAATTTGTAAACTCTGGGGAGTAGGGTAGGATCTATTTTACTCGGGATCTGCAGCACTGAACAGGTTTCATACTAGAAACTCTGTGGTTCTACAATAAAACAAATACATGTATGTTCTGTTGTTAGTAATTGGTGTTTAATGCTGAGTATAATTAATTCAAATGTGAAGATGTGATAGAGTCAGCATTTTGTTCAGAAATTCGTGGTTTTGGTGTCAGGAGTTTGCTTCATGTTTTGTGGAAGTCCAGTGCAGTAATATTTGTGTGTGTCTACTTTGTGTTTCCCAGATTTCTACCATTTGAAAAACTGAAGTTGCAGGGTTTTTGGTTATCTATGCTTTGAATAATTCCTGTTAATGAATGTCAATGAACTTTTTTTTTCAGTCACCCAGCATGGGCACCCTGATGGGGGTGTATTTACCATGCATGCAGAATATCTTCGGGGTTATTCTCTTCCTTCGGCTGACTTGGATGGTAGGAATGGCTGGAGTTCTTCAGTCCTTCCTGATTGTATTACTTTGCTGCTGTTGTGTAAGTATATAGGTAAAATAATGCATGTGACATAACCTCTGTGAAACTATTGAGAAACTTGGAGAGGCTGCATTGTACATGCAGGTGGAAAGAAAAGCCAGATGTATGCTAGACACTTCTGCTGTGTTTGTAGCCATGTGATTTCTGTTTTTTTCCCTTTCTTTTCTTTTTTTTTGCTAGTGTTTCTAAACTGGCAAACTGTATCTAGTGTAGATGCAGTCTTAAAAATGGTGTTTGTTCAGCAAACAGCTGTTTTCTGCGCCTGTCCCAGGTCGTGGCTGCCTGCTTTGCTGGACTAGCCTTTGTTGGAATTTCAGCTCTGCAGATGGAAGGACACCTGCCTTCTTCTATCTTGCTTTCTCTGCAGACACCCATTATTTGACTTGATAAAGCAGCGGTCATCTCTCAAGCAGAAGTCTCAACAGCTTGATGATTAAATTCCTGCTACCCTTGTTTTCTTTCAGATAATGACCTGTCAAGGCAGAATAAATAGAAATATTGTATCCTATATGCAGTGGCAGCTTTGCTCTATCAAGAAAGAAGTTATGTTTTAAAAAATGTTGTTGACTCAATTGCTTCCTTTTCCTTGTTTTCCCCAGACTATGCTGACAACCATATCAATGAGTGCTATTGCCACAAATGGTGTTGTTCCAGGTAAGTGTAGTTAGCAAACTTCTCTTTTGTGTTTTAAAAAAAAAAAAAAAGTTGCTATAAGCTGTTAACGTGGTTTTATTCTAGAGAAATTTGCTTAAGCCAGGATACAAAGCCTGAAGTCCTATCTAGTACTTCTTCTGAGTATCAATTTAGGCTAAGGATTAATTTATTTGGTTTTTAGTTACCCCTGTGCTAACAAAAAGATACTTCAACTGAACCCCCAAAAAAGCAGATGCGCAGTGTATAATTTTGTTGTATTCTTGTTGTGAATATTTTACAATTTTTAACAATAAATAAGTCATAATATTCCTCTCATTTTCTTGTTTCATAGCTGGTGGCTCCTATTTTATGATATCCAGGTCATTAGGCCCAGAGTTTGGTGGAGCTGTAGGGCTGTGCTTTTATTTGGGAACAACATTTGCAGGAGCAATGTATATCCTTGGTGCCATTGAGATTTTATTGGTGAGTAGTACCAGAGTAGGTCCTGCTTTTAAAGACAAATAGCATATAGAAAATACCACAGTATTCTTGTCCCCTATTCGCATACACATTTACAGGTAGAGACCAGAAGGTCTCCAGTTTCTCGGTGTCCAATTCTGTACCGCTTAGTGCTTCCCTTTGGAAGTTGCACACTCTGTGGGTATCCAGAATGGAAGCTCTCCTGAAAACATAGATGGAAATATGACTTAACCAAAGACACATGCTCATCATTGATAAAGTTGGCTCAGTTGTACTACTGAAATGGAATGGGCCGTTATCTCTTGACTTTTCCTATAAACTGAAGATTCCTGGTGAAGAGCATGTTGCAAATTGGAGTGTGATTTACATTTACGATACAGAGTTCTGTCCCTGTGTTCCTTCAGCTTGCTTTCTTCTTGTTTCAGACGTATATTGTGCCACAAGCAGCAATTTTTCATTCATCCGGTGCCCATGATGCATCCAGTGCTATGCTAAACAACATGAGGGTGTATGGAACTCTATTCCTCATCCTGATGGCGGTGGTGGTCTTCGTAGGCGTGAAATATGTTAACAAATTTGCTTCCCTCTTCTTGGCCTGCGTAGTAATATCCATACTGTCCATTTATGCTGGAGCTATCAAGTCCATCTTTGATCCACCTGAGTTTCCGTGAGTAGTGTTTCTGGATGGGGGTATAGCTTTGCCTACAGGTCTGGAAGGTGGGGTTCAGTGGAAGTTAGTTAAAGCTTGTGCCTAATACATTGTCAAAGCTATCTTTCTTGTGAATTACTTCAGATTTTCTTTTAGCTGTATATAGTGACAGTGATATTCTTCCGCATGCAGAGCTCATGGAATAGAAGTTTCTTAGGCTAAAATGAGTGCATTATTACGTTCTTTAACTGTTTTGTTAGAATGAAGTTTTGTGGTGAGTATACAGATTAGTGGAGGCTGACATTTCTCTGCTTCGTGCAAAGACAATCCCGTATCTTAGCCTACGGCTGTTGAGTTAAATTTTAGCAAGAATTTTGCTGGGTTATTTATGGCAGTTAGTAGGAAGCATTTTGGCAGGTCCATTTTCCCCAGGCCAGTCAGACATGATGTGCTGCCTTCGTGGTTGGAAACTGTGGTGGTGTGATGCAGCTGCTTGCTGAGAAATAGGGCATCTCTCAGGAATGTGGGACGTGCGGTGTTGGGGCCATGCTGAGGCTCCAGTGAAACTTCCCCTTGGTCTGAAAGCAGATTAATCTGCCGTATGAGTAGCCCTGCTCTGAACACAACGCGTGCTTCTTGGCCCGTTGGCAGTTAAACATGTAATACAGTTTCTTAAACTCAGAGCTGGAGCAGCAATAATGTGGATACATGTGTTTTACCAGAAATGCAAACAGTATTTCCTGATACTGCTGACAGGAGATGAATGGAATGGAAATAGAGGAGTTGAGTCTGCATAATTATTCACATCTTAAAATGTTGTGACCATAACTAAGTACTTGCAACCCTCAAGTGCTCCCTTTAGATGTTTAGGGCCCAATGATTACAATGTTTTACAACAGTGGCAGGTTTACAGCAGTAAAAATAAAACAATGTCTCTACCTCCCCCTCATTATCTCTTGGATTGTTCTGGAATGTTCTCCCTATCTTTCTTCCTTGGGCTGTATTCCTTTTTCTTTTGCTGAAGTAACTAGTTGCTGTATTTATTTTTAATTCTGGAGGGGAAGGCTTCTCTGAAGTTGCAGTTCACAGGCCTGCAAACCCGACAAAAATGGCCCTGTCTCTTCCATTTTCCTGGCTTTAGTGATTGATAAGACCTGTGAAACAATTAAACTTATTAAAATGGAAGAAACTTTTGTTTTTTGTGGGTGTTTTCTGGCACTGGGAAGAGAAGCCGAATGAACTTTTAGTGGCAGCAAGCTGCTACGTTATATCACCATGTATTGTGGAACCATCTTTGGAGAAGTGGATTAAAAATTTTCACTGCTGGAATAAACTATATTTGTGGTTAGGTGAAACACAACAGGCACTGGAGGATTTTTAGCAATTACGCATAGTATCTTCTGACAAGAAGAACCTTTGCTTATTGTGATTGAAATGTATGTTCCTGATTCTGAAGCTAAAATGTCAGGAGTGATTTGAGTGCTACTATACAGAAACTGGGATAACGCGATTCCAAATATCTTTAGATGTTCTAAATACCTAGCCATTTGAATGCTAGTATTCTTCAGATTTCTTCCACTCCAGTAGTTCTGTTTAACTGAAAAAAAAAATGTGGCCTAATCTTTCCCTTTCATTGTTTAAGGTAATTTTACCAAATTCAATAAATCACACTGATGTAGCTTTTTATACCTCTCCCAATTTTGTTGGAAAAGTAGCTTTATACTTCTCACTCTTAAAGGAAACAGATACGCAGTCTTTGTCCTGCTACCACCATCTTTTTGAAGCTGAGAAATGATGTAGCAGACTAGAGCCACCTGAAGTTTCCATGATATGAAAGAAGAACTAAGGGGGAAGGGCAGATTTCATTTTCCCGGTACCATATAATAACACTGGTTTTCACGTTTCCCTTCCAGGATTTGCATGTTGGGCAACAGGACTTTGTCGAGAGATCAGTTTGATGTTTGTGCCAAAACCATAGTTAAGGATAACATTACTGTGCCCTCTAAGCTTTGGCAGCTCTTCTGCCAAAGTACAAACTTAACCACCGAGAACTGTGATGAATATTTCCTAATGAACAATGTCTCTGAGATAGCAGGGATTCCAGGAGCTGCTAGTGGCATTTTAAAAGGTATGATAGAATATTTTTTTTCCCTTAAAGAGGAGGAATGCTGAGCAGTTGAAATGGGTTGAACTGTTCCCTGCTGGTTAAGAAAGAGGGACTGAAGAAATTGTAATTACAGTGAAGAAAATTATCTTCAATAAAGAAAACCAAGTTTTATAATCTTTAAAAAGAGTAGATGGCACTTTTGTCCTGATACAGTACTTGTCTGCTGTAAAATTGATTAAATTTGCCTTGTACGTCTCATAATTTCAGCAGAAAGTCAGCTATAATTATGAGCTATACTAACATGAGTAAGTTGTTAAAATTTTTCAGAACTCTGTGTAGCGACGACTCTCCATTTTAGACAGGTTAAAATTATGACCTGAAAGATAAGAGTACTTGTATAAAAATAGCATACCTATTTCTTTGCCTGCTCCTGAAGAGAATATCATTGAAAAGTGTTCATTATTGAAATGAACTCCAGAGAACAGTTGCTTTGTGCAGGTGCTGAGTGCCTAAGGTTCCCGTTTTTGCAGAAACCAGTAGTCTAATTTCTAAAATGGAGTCGGCATTTATTAGTGAAATTTCAAATGCCAACCATATAATTCTGTAATTCTTCCAGTGTCTAAAGAACAAATCCGTTTATATCTAGAAAGCTGGTCAATATTGCTGCTTGGATTCTCTGAGCTACTATGTGTGGGTATGGTGGTTCATCAAAAATATTCAGTGTATTTTTGGGGGTTAAAACGGGTATGAATGTTACATTTAGTAATATTAAAGGATTAAAAAGAGCTTAGACTTCCATAGGCTATTCATACATATTTATGGGTTTTGTTACAGATTCCCTTGAAAGCATGCGATGTAAATTTTCTTTCATGTAACTTGTATATGTCTTAATTTGTGTTGATCACTGAACTGCATGAACTGCATTTGTAATCTTCAGCTGTAGACCCATTATAATGAGAACAGGTTTGAACTGAAACATGCTTTTCTTTTCTGTGGTGTGATAATAACATTGAAGACAACTTGTGGAGCAATTATTTGGAGAAAGGAGAGATACTGGAGAAAGCACATCACCCATCTGTTGATGTAGCAGGCCAGAAGAACAACCTTCATCTATACGTGCTTTCAGATATAGCGACTTCATTCATGGTGCTGGTTGGCATCTTCTTCCCTTCAGTGACTGGTGAGAATACTGGGACAAGAGGGCATCTTGGGTCTCTGAGCTTTCTTCTGTCCCTTGATCTTATGTCCAAAATGTATTTTCAGGTATCATGGCTGGTTCAAACAGATCAGGGGACCTCAAAGATGCACAGAAATCCATTCCCGTTGGAACAATTCTCGCTATTGTCACCACGTCGCTAGTCTGTATCCTTCTAAAATCAGTAGAGTCCTGGCACGTTGTAGGTGACTCAGATGAATGACTGTGTATCTGATTTGTGGAACTGCTTTCAGGTGACTAAATTATCCGTGTGAGTATGATTGGTCACTGGAAAAAAAACCAACCAGTTCTTGAGCTGAAAGCATCAGAATTATTATCCTGTTGGTTTCCATCCCCCTTTTTGTGGTTTTTTTTTTGTTTGTTTGTTTTGTTCTTTCGTGTTTCTGTTGCTTTTCTTTGCTAGGCAGTGGTCAATAGCTTTTCAGGCTGGTGGAATACAGGTATATATTTTTTAGGATGCAAGGTGTATGTTTTTTAGGATGCAGTGGACCATTAAGATGAGGGAAGGCTTTAAATGGGAGAGATCATAGATTTCAGTTCCTTCAAAAAAAAAATAAAGCCTTTGAGTGACATTAAGGTAGTATATACTTTCTTGAACATTTTAGGGCAAGATAAACTGGAGTTAGAAATTAGACTAGATGTTCCCCAAGTGTTTTTTTT